TTTATGCTTCCTTCTAGGACTCAACAACACAGTAGCAAGGACACCATTTGAGAAGTCAACTTGCCAGTAAAGGAAAGAGGAAAACACTGACCCAAAGAGAGTCAGCATCCAGATCTATCATGCAGCTTACAGATGACAGAGCCAAAGACAGAATACATTCAACATCTTCATGATATCGAGCATTGCCAGTAAAGCTCAGAATCACCCGGCTTCTTCAACAAATAAATGGCACGGGGGAAAAAAGAGTAGAGAGGCTGTTATAGACTACAAGGGTCTTAAAATTGACCTTCAAATAAAAGTTTGTTGGAAATACAGAGGGACTTAAGAGACACATCAACAAATACAATGTGTGGACTGCATTTAGGTCTTCAAACCAGCCAACTTACACAAGAATTATTGAGAACAATCATAGAAATTCGAACACAGATTTGTTGTTAGACCATATTAAGAAATGATGTTAAGGGCGCTGAGTGGAACCGCCGCTGCTGCCTCGGGCCCATGGGAGGCTCAGGGCCCCGGCTGAAGGGCAGCACCCCGCGCCCCCTGCGCCGCCGGCCTGGTCAAGAGCCACCGCCTGCAGGATGGCATAGTAAACCCAACAATAAGAAAAGACTCGAAGACCGTAGCAAAATTCTATTGCTGTCCAACTGAAGGATGCCCCAGAGGCCCCGACAGACCATTTTCACAGTTTTCTCTCGTAAACCAGCGCTTCACGAAGATGCACCCCGAGAAGTGGAAATGGGGCAAATGCAGCAACTCGTACGGCACCAAGTGGAACCTGAAGGGGCACGCGGACTCCGGCAAGGCCTTCCAGGCCACATGCGGCTGCCCCTAGCCAGCAGGCCGGCGCTGCAGTCACACCTCTACCGCACGGGCCGCTAGATCCCCGCAGAGCACAGCCTTAAAAAGAGAAACGCTCCTCCTTCCTGTTTGCACCTCTTCTGAACACCTGCTTGCCAGGACAGCCCAGTCCTCAGGGTTGCCAGAAGGGAGGTATCTCTGGGGATCAACCTAGTAAAAAAAGGAAAATGGAAAACTACCTGCAAAACCAGAAGTTGTCCCCAAAGACCATTGAATCCTTGAGCAGCCAACCAAACTCTTGGCCCGAAGCCCAGGAACTGGAGACGTCAGAAATAAAACTCATACCCTCTCTTGAGGACTCCTGAGGCTCCAGGAAGCAAAGCATCACCACACCTCCACGATACCCTCAGAAGTGCCTCTTACCGAAGCCCAAGGTGGCTCTGGTGAAGCTTCCGGTCATGCAGCTGTCACCTATGCTGGCCTTTGTGCCTACAGCTGACTCTGCAGCCCAGCCCGTGGTGTTGGGCATCTATCAGGGCTCAGCAACGGGCGCCATGCACCTGCTGCCCCTCCCGTGGGGGCTCTGATCCTCGGCCTAGATTCCAAGGCGTGCTCCCTGAAGAAGAGTCTGCCTCTCTCACAAGTTATAAACCCCAGTGTTGAGCCGGTTAGTACAGGTGCTCAGGCGAACTTGGGGAAGAGCCCTTCTAATGCCAGTGTCAAAGAAACCGAATTTCATCCATCGGTGTGCAGACAGATCTGACCTATGCCTCGCCACACTTGGTCACCTGTGCCCCATGGCCTGGCCCTGACTCCTCCGTGTCGTCTTGTTCTCAAACTGACCTGTCGTTTGATTCCCGAGTGTCCCTTCCCATTAGTGTTCCCGCTCGGATGCTGCTGCCCAGCTGTAAAGCAGTGTCATCCACCGCCACTTGGATGCTTTCATCGACACCTGTTTCCAGCCAGGTGGGGTCTCCAGGGAGACCCAGACCTGCAGGGTGCTGGGGCCCCCAGATGCCCAGATGCAGGTGGACCAAGTCGGGATGTGTGGGGACATTTTTGAGAGTGTCCACTCAGACAGCGTCCCCACAGATAAAATTATAAACAGCAGTTTAGTAGCAGAGACCGTCACTCAGTTTGTTACCTCAGAGCAACCCTAAGGCTGTAAGTGAAGATACTGAGAAATCCGCACCCATCTTAAACTTTAGTGCGCAGAACGGTATACTTTCCTCACAGAACACGACAGATAACCAGACCCCCACCATAGATCTGTTGCGCGACTTAGAAAGCATCTTGTCAAGCACACTGCCCCGTCAGGCGTTGGACAACTGTGGTCTTTTGTCTGATGCCAATCCCGGGGCTGACACCTAGCTTCCCTCCAGTCCCACCCAGAACCCCAGCATCAATTTTGATATTGAAGAGTTCTTCTCCGCCTCCAACATCCAGACCGAAACTGAAGAGAGCAGCCTCAGCATCATGGCCACAGAGCTGGTCCTGGAGTCGCTGGACATAGAGACACAGACCAACTTCTTTCTCGAAGATCCGTCGGCCCTACCCTATGGGTGCAGGGGCGGGGCTCACTTTCTAGGGCTTGAGATGTTCGACACGCAGACCCAGATGGACTTAAACCTTTTTAGACAGCAGCCCTCACCTGCCCCTCGGCAGCAACCTGAAACACTCCAGCTTTTCCCTGAGTACCGACTCATCCGACACCCCCTGAAGTGTCCACACTCTGGAGAGCAAGGTGCAGCTGAACAGCGCCGAAATGCAGACCACCAGGTCAGGCCTGGAGGCTCTGGGGAGCTTGTTCTTCACCAGCCTCAAAACGCAGACAGCCGTGGACGACTTCCTGCTGGCTGATTTGGCCTGAACACCATGGAGTCTCAGTTCAGCTCCGTGGAAGCCCAGACGTGTGCTGAGCTGCACAACTTCTAAAGGATTAGGCCAATGTGAGTGTCAGTTCCCATTTCCTCCCGGACTTTAAAAAAAAAACGGGGAATGGGGATAACGGTATTAACTCTGTTGAATGTAGTCCATGACGCAGTTGCTTACGTTCTTTGCGATTCTTTGCCTTTTGTACTTGTAAAGAAACACACTATTTGTGTATAAATGTGAGTGTATTATAAAGTGTAAGATGTTGACCTAAAAAAAATAAAAGAAATGATGTCAAGTTTTGTGATGTATTGTGTTTATGGTTTTTTTAAGCCTTTAGATTTAGAAATACATACCTGAATATTTAGGGGTAAAATAATGTTACACCTGGGCTTTGCTTTAAAATACTCTGTGGGAGAGGATAAGTAAAATATGATTGGAAAAACAGTAGTAGTTGAAAAATTGAGTGATGTGTTCATGGAGGTTTATTATCTACTCTGCTTTGTATATGTTTGAAGTCTTTTGTAATAAAACCTCTAAAAGCAAAAAAAAAAAAAAATGATGATTACAACAACAACAGCAACAAATGTTGTTTTAAAAAGAAATGAGAAAGTCTTAAGTTCTCTTTCTGTCTGCCAGCGCAGGGCCTACCTACCAGGAGGATGAGCTTGGTAGTTCAACTCTCTCCTGCACATAGCTTGTGTTTGTCCCATTTTTTCCTCCCAGAATTCCCTTCCTCCTGATTGCAGCAAGTCCAGCTCAAGTGCTACCAACAGCAGACACCCGTTGTATTGGGCAAGCATCCACTGGCTCTTTGTCAGGTAACAACAACCCTATTCTCCTTTGAATAAACACCTTTACTCGCATCATGTGGTTCAAATGGGGCTGACCTCACCACTCACATCTGCCCCCAGGTGACTCAGCTCTGACCAGTGACAATACCACTGTGATTGTAGGAATGGGCTCGTTGCCCAGGCTGAACCAATTAGCCAAAGCATATCAGCTTCCAGACTTTTGCTGGAAGTATTAGAAAAGAGGTGGTTTTTCTTCATTGGATTGCTAATTCAGAAGCAGAAAGCCTAGATTTTGTTGATGTCTGCCTAAATGGGAGAGAAGATCCAAGAAAGAAGCCACCATAAGATACAGAGACATAGTCTGATCCGGTGTTAGAGTCCCTGAATATAGCCAGGCTCCCACCAAACCAGTCTCTCCCCTCAGCCTTCCAGTGTTAATAAAAGACCCTTTTGCTAAAGAGAGGAGGGGAAAGAGAGAGAAAAAAGAGAGGCAGACAGGATGAGACGGAGAGAGCAGGAAGAGAAACGACAGAGAATGTGAGGAACAGAAGGAAAGATGATGACGTTGACAGAAGGGGAAAGACAGACAAACACAGAGAGATGGAAAAAGGGAGGAAGAAGGAGGGAGGGGCATTCGCTCTAGAATCAAGAATAGGACAAAGGTGCTGGCCATCACCACTACATTGGCCATCCAACCGGAGATCCTATAAATGCCACTGGTGACAAAGAAATGAATGGTAAGGGCTGCTGTGTGCGACATTTTCACTCCTACTTTCTACAGTGATGTGCTAATTCAGGCAACACCCTTTGTTTCACCATTGGCTCTCTCCCAGGTCCTAACCCACCCTGGCCTCCATGGGATTAAGAGTCAGGGATTCTCTCACTGGCAGGGTCCTCCACAGTAACTCAGGGGACATTGTCCCTGGGCCCCTTCCCTACTTAGAACCAGAACAAGGCCCAGCCCACTGGGGCATCTGGGGTCTAGATTTGAATCTTGGTTCTAATTAGCTGAATGACTTTCAAAGACTCACTTTCCTCACCTGTGCAGTAAGGGTGATGTCTGCCCTCTACACGGTTAGTGAGAGATTTAAACAGGATAACGTGGGAGAGCACACTTCCTGGCACTCTCTGGCCTTTCTATTTCTGTTCTTCCTGCTATTCTCCATGGAGTGTTCAATTTTAGCACAAATCAGATCACTCTGATTTTGTGCCTAAAACCCTGCCAATAGTTTCCCATCTCTCTTGGAATAAAATGCGAACTTTCACAAGCCTCCTGGATTCTGTCTGCTCTGGACTCGCCTGACTTCTTTAACCTCTCTGTCTTCCAGCCCCTCACTCACCTGCCTGCTCTTCCTCACACTGGCCTGGCAGGTTTCCTTCCCAGGGAACAAACAGGCTGTAGTTCTCCTCCCCAAGACTGGACAGGGCTGACAACCCCACCCCCAACTCCAAGAGGGCTTCCCTGATGACTGCTAAAAGCAGGGAGAACTTGAAAGTCTGGGCTGGGTGAGCGGTGGAGGGGAGCATCTCACGCGTACGGTAGTAATAATGCTCATGTGCCCGCCCACTAGATTGTATGTACGCCAGGGCAGGCACCATCCGACACAGTGACCTCTGCTTCTCCGGACAGGGAGAGTGTCCAGGCCGTGTGAGCTGCAGTGGGGAGCCAGTCCCGGGCTACCTTTCAAACCCTCTGTGCTGCTCATTAAGTTATTGTTTCTCAGCCCCAGGTTCTGTCCTCTGCTTCGTGCTTGCCTTATGATGCTCTTACCCACCTGGCTCTGCCCGGAGGATGGAGACTTGCCATGCTGGAAGAGGAGAAGGCACCACTTCTTCTGGTCTGCTGGCTGTGGGCTTGGCTTTCAGTGAGTATTGCTCCAGCCTCCCACTACTCTCTGAAACTATGGTAGCAAAGCCTTCCTATAGCAGCAGCTGAATCCAGCCTGAAGTTTCTCCACCATGGAATCAGCATTTCTGCGTCCCCTTCCCATGTTGGAGACACTAGCACCTGCTGGCCGGAAGCCCTTCTCAAAGGTCTGGGTTCCCTTCTCTGAGACCAGAGACAAGCTGAGTTTAGCTTCCTGCCCTTCCCCGGAAGACTGAGTTTCAGCTCTGTGCTCCCCTCTTTGGGGTTTCTGAGTTTTAATAATCCATTCTCATCCCCCCAGGGTGAGGGGTTGTCATAACTACTTCCTGCAGTTGGCATTTTCATGACATTTCAGGGTTCTCTCCTTGCCTCTTCTCTAGTGGACAACTTTTTAACTGTCCACAACTCTTTGTATTAAATTCTCTCCATCTAAATAGTTCATGTGGTTTCCGCTCTTGGCTGGATCCTGACAGGTACAGTCACCCAAGAGATAAAGACAGAGAAATTAGACCATTCTGTTAAGGTAGGGACCAAAATGGCCAGAGGATGCTCAGCTCGGGGAACAAGGAGAAACTAGGCATTTGGCAGTCTTCTCTAGGGTCCAGGAGAGAGAAAATTATAGGCCAGGGTAGACCAGGGTGATAAGGATGGGCCCAAGAAAATTCCATTCAAAAATATGCATGAAAGGAACACTTCCCAGCTCATTTTATTTGGCCAATTGTACCAGATAACAAAATCAGACATCTTAAGAAAAAGCATTTCTTCAAAACATTGTCTTTATATTTTACTGTCTGTAGCATTAGTCTTTCTTTTTACATGAAATAATGGGAACTGGTGTATTTCTTCCCTCTCACTTTTCTAGTTTGTTTCTTTGGGAATATACCAACCCTGATAAATTCAGTTTAGATGATACCTGTTTACTGACATAGATTTCCGTTCTATTCAGGCCATTTTTGTTCCTTAGGTCCCTTCATCACTTTGGAGTCATTCCATTGCAAGCTATTTCATGAAGGCTTTGATTGGTCTGATGTATTAGCCACTCTTAAAATTATAAGGAATGTTCCGATATTATTCTTTCCTGTGTGGAAAATGTAGTCGTTATCAAGGAGAAACAAGAGAGCATTAAAGTAAACTACCTTCTAATTAGAAATGCATGACTTTCGTTAACTGCATTTCATTGTTGTACCTGTAGCTGTTCTGTAAAACTGAACATGTCCTTTTTTCTGTTTGCTACCAGGGCTGGAACTCAGGACCTTGTGCTTGCCAGGCAGGTGCAGCGGGCTACATCCCTGGCCCAACATGTCCTTTTGATGCAAGTGACATTTGTATTTAATGTACCAAATTGTTAATCTAAGTTTTATAATGTAATTTATACCAATCCTTTCAAAGATGGCATTATCTAACCTTTAAAGTATGAATAAAGTGTGTCTACATTATTGTTTATAAAGAGACTTTGTAACTAAATCAGAGTATATAGCAGATTCTAAGTGACCATTATGTATTACTTTTAAAATTTGAAGGCGTGAAACAGGTTCAGTCATAAGAAGATGCACGAAAGAAAAAGTACCCAGTGCAGTGGGTATACGTTTTTATTTCATCATTTAATCAATCATTTTGGATGAATGACATACTTCACTTTTACACTGTTTGCACTTTATTTTGCACAGGCATTTCATTAATTATTACCTCGATTTGAGAGGCAACCCCTCTGCATATAGCTTTCAGTCTGAACCAAAGAGTTTGTCATGGCTAAATAATTACGTATTTAAGAAAATCCCCAAAACAAAACTAAACAAAAATATGCATGAAAACCCTCCCGAATTTCAGGTATTCTGACTAAAATGATAGACAGAACTGGATTGCATAACCGGTCCTGGTACCTGTAATTAGTGACCTGTGTGTGCTTTGTGCTCTGTAATTACTTCTACCCACCAGAGGCAGCATGTTGTCTTCATGACTGGTGGTCAGTGATGAGTTGCAATGGAGGAGGGGGAAAGGGGATAGAAAGGACACAGGAAAGAGGAAAGATTGGCCAAAGTTCTTGATATTGGCCAAAAATATGCTGAGTTTTAATAAAGGGAAGGCATACCACAGAAAACCACCTCTTCCTCACTTATGCATTTTTATGTGTTTTTTTAAAATATTATTTTTTATCTGCTCATATTCCTTCCTAACCCAATTGTGTGCCAAGAACAGAGGTCAAGGGTTGAGACAGAGCAAAATTTCTGAGACCTGGGACATAAAAGAAAGCAGGGATATAAGTGAGTAAATGTGAGGAAGATGACTATAAAGGTGTTCAGGAAGAAACACACTAATTCAGTGTTTTTCAGACTTGTTCAGGGAAGTGTATTAGTCAGCTTTCCCATTGCTGAACACAATATCCAACTTCAAGGAAGAAAGGTTTTATTTAGTTAATGGTTTGAGGAAATTCAGTCCATAGTCAGCTGGCTCCAAGGCAGGAATATCATGGTGGACGTGTGTGGAGGAGCAAAGTTTATGATGGCTGGGAACAGAGCAGAGGAACAGTCTCCAGAGTCTTACCTGTAACTTTCACAAACGAAATAGATTAGGGAGCAGGGAACCAGGGGGCTACCAGGGGATTTCTTGAGCTGGATGAAAGTTTTCCAGGTATTGGCTTTATAATTATTTTTTAAATGTTCATATAGAAAAAAAAAACCAGGGAGGGCCGGGGATTTAGTTCAGTGGTTCCGGCACCTGCCTCACAAGCACAAGGTCCTGAGTTTGATCCTCAGTACCAAAAAAACCCACAAAAAAACAAACAAAAAAACCCCAGGGGAAAACAGACCCACTCCCTAGGGCCAGGGGTCTATAGGGCCTAGAGGAACAGCAGGACCGCTCTTGTTTCCTCAGACCTGATGTGCTAAGAGGGACAGAGGTTTACACCTGGCCAGGGGTAGAAGCCCCCGAGGAATGAGGAAGTGAAACCAGAGGAGGTGATCAAAAGCCTGATTACCCTGTGCTTCCTCTAAGCAAACGAAGCCAGTGAACCAGCCTAACACGAATGCCATGCAGTGAGCTGTGGGACATTTCTCCCTCCACATCTTCCCACACCACAGACTGGTGGGAGGACAGAATTCCCACAGCTTTGTCTTTGGGAACAAAAGTCTTGCCGTGCTTGGACATGGGTGTACAGGCACCCAGAAGACACCTAATTGCTCTAGAATCTGGGAGCCCTATGTTTGGGGTAGGGGCTCCACTGGGTCACCTCAGGGTCCCAGGGCCTTACAGAAGCTGGATAGAAGCAGACACAGGGGGCTGTCTTGGCTCTGCTCAAGCTGAGCCAGACCTAGTAGAGGATCCTACACCTATCCCCAAAGCCAATTTGGGCCAGGAGCTGGCTTCAGTATTCATCATGAGCAACACATACTTCTAGAAACAAAGTATCTGTACCTTTTATCCAGAGAGATGCTAACATCCTGCCATTGAAGACCAATTACTTTGGAGTTCCTCCCACCTTCTGAACTTGGCCCTCTGGGACAAAATAGGAAGTATGATTGCAAAGTATTGACATTAATCCCCTTCAAAATATACTCCCTCGCTTCAAACACACTTATCCCATCATTCTTGCCACTTTCTGGAGCGGTTCTGGAAATACTCTTTTGTGAATGTCTTTAGTTGCATGGCCATAGGTGCCTGTATGTCTTGAACTGATTCAAACTCTTCGCCCTTCATGGTCATTTTGACTTTGAGGAAGAGCCAGAAGTCTCATGGTGCCAAATCCAGTGAATAAGATGGAAGAGGATGGGCTATAATATTTTTATAAGGCTGTTTTCTATTGAATGGCACTCAGCAGCTGCATTCACTGTATTTTGAACCGTGCCTTGTTTTTTATTTTTTATTTATTAATTTTTATTACTATGTGTTTTCAGTACATAATGATTACATTCATTATGGAGGGTTGGTGCATGTATGCAACACATCTTAATTCTTTTTACTTCCCTCTCTCCTCCCCTTCCTCCTTACTCCCTTGTAAAGACAGAAAAGACTACTTCCAGGATTGCTTCAGAAAGTGGCAAGAACACTTGGAGGTGTCTTCTAAGGAAGGGGGAGTCTTTCAAGGGGGTCTAATGGCAATGTATTTTTACTGTGATAATTTTTAAATTTTAAATACACATCCTAAGTTTTGAGCAGCCCTTGTATGAGAATTACCAGACTCTGTACTCATAGCACTGTGGGAAGAGCTGAGACAAACAGCAAATACAATTCTACCTCTGATCTACTTCTTCCCACCAGCCAGAGAATTCTCAGGCTAGCTGCACCTATTCACACATGAGCAGCCAACATGCATTTGAAGTAGGGGACAAGCAGTCTTGATATTTTTAAACTCTCTGGACCTCTTCCCTGGCTCCACACCTGCTCTCTCATCTCCCACTCCATCTGTCCCTGTTACTCCCTCCCTCTCTCTCATACACACTCACAGGAATTATGTATTCAAGGATGTGTGTTGCCCCAAAAGATTGGACACTCATCTGAATTCCCTTAGTGGAAGACTAGCCAAATTATGACACAGCTATAAGATGGAAAAGTGTGTGGCTGATAAAAAGTAATAAGGCTACTCTCTCTGTACTGATAGGAATCACATCCACAATATATTTAAAAGTTGTAGTTGTTTAAGAAAGCAAGATGCAGAGGAGCATGTAGGCTCTCATTTGTGTGAAAAGTATCACTGTATACACAGAAACTTTTCAACGCCAAGACTACCTGTGCCAGGCGTCCTAAAGCCTGGTACTAGAAGTCACCTCTGGAAAGGAGACCTGGGGAGAAGAGGTAGGAGGGAGTCTGGGTTTTTTCCCTGTATGTTGTTTTTCTCCTTTAGATTTTATTCATGTGTGACGTTATTGTTTTTATTTTAAAATATAAAAGGAGTCAGGGAGTATTAGCATTTAATCCAGACTGGGGAGAGCTTAGAAATCCCTCAGTTCAAACTCCCCACCTCCTTCGCTTCTCTGGCCCTTGCCGTGGCATCTCGCTCCACTGAAATGCTCTTTCACAGCCTGCTGACATTTCCAGCCTGAGTGCTGACCTCAGGCCAACATGACTCATGCTGGCCTCCACAGGTGAGCTGGGAAGGTCCTGGTCTGCCATACTAATCCCGTCCCCTGGGGATTCCCGACAGTTTCACTGCACACTTGGCCCTTTTGTCACCTAAGGACTCTATTCTTCCTCTGACCTCATCCTCAATCCCTACATCTTGGGCCCCTTCCTTGTGGGTCCTATGATTCTTTTTCTGTTCTTCTCAATCATTTAAATCTCTGACCCCTGCAGCTAAATTCTCCCATCTTTATCATTCTCCTGTGTTTGATCCTAATCCTGTCAGATCACTCCGGTTCCAGGTAGAAGGTTATAACAGAGAACCCACGCACCCACCCAGGTCCAATACGTTAGAGCTGGGAGAGCAGAGTCTGCCTCTCATGGATCTTCTGTCCTTTCTTTCCAACCTCATAAGCCTGGGAACTACCTACCTTTTGTTCAAATTTCTTAACAGACTCTTTCTGGGGAAAAAGTATTATAAAGTGAAACAAGTCCAGATTTGAGGCAGAGAGATGTGGGTTTGAATCTTTACCTGTTAATTACTAGCGGTGTGGTCTCACTCAAGTTCTTTTACCTCATTGAGCTCAGGATTCTTTCTGAAAGGTGAACATAGAATCCTCACTTCACTGGGTGGTAAGGAGGATGAACTGGGTTTTGCCCCCAAGGGGGGAATTTAGAGCCTAGACTCAGAGTGGTGCTTCGTAAATGGTGCTTTCTCCTCCTGCACCTTCTCCCATCTCCTCAGCCAACTTCCTTCTGGGGAAGCTACACACATACCTGCTTACTATTGTACATAGGCAGGAACCCTTCATTAGAACTCAGCCTGGCACGGTGGTATGGGCATGTTCCAGCTCCTCATGATGCATGTAATCATTATGGGCTGCAAACGTGTACGAATGAAAATCAAGTGAATGGTGAAACCACAAAAAATAGAATGAATGATGATAAACACAACATATGCAAACTTGTAAGATGCTGCTAAAGCAGTTCTAGAAGGTAATTTACAGTCCTTAATGCTTAAATTAGTATGGTAAAAGACTAAGGTCAATCCTAAGAAGACAGATATAGAAGAGAAAATTAAACCCAGAGTAAATAGAAGGAAAATAAGAAGAACAAGATTCAATAAATAGAAAATATTTAAATGATGGAGTCAACAAAGCCAAAATTTGGTTGAAAATTTTTTAAAAATTAATAAATCTCTACAAAAACTAATTGAACCAAAAAAATCATAAATTCCAATATCATGACTGAAAGAGATATTATATAGGCCTTACAGGCATTAAGAGGAAAATGAGAGACAATTATGAACTATTTTATTGTTAATGAACAGATTTCTTGAATAACACACTTATCAAAACTAACTGAGGAA